CTGAAAATGGAGTTGAACCACTACCTAAATATATCGATGCCATTAGATCATTTCCAACACCATCCTCAATAACAGACATCCGATCTTGGTTCGGCTTAGTGACCCAAGTATCACATTACGCTCAACTTCGAGAAACTATGGTCCCATTCAGAGTTCTGCTTAGCCCTAAATCAAAATTTTATTGGTCAAACGAACTCAACACTTTATTCAACGTGTCAAAGGAAAAAATTATCAACGCAATTAAAGATGGAGTCCAAATATTTGACATTACCAAGAAGACCTGTTTAAGATGCGACTGGTCAAAATTGGGGATAGGATATTACCTAAGCCAAAAACATTGTGAATGTAAATCGGACTCCCCAGATTGCTGTATAGACGGATGGAAAATAACCCTAGCAGGGTCCAGATTCCTGTCATCTGCTGAACAACGATATGCACCAGTTGAGGGCGAAATGCTAGCAGCGGCATGGAGCCTGGAGCAGACTAAATATTTCACACAAGGTTGTGATAACCTTATGGTAGTAACTGATCATAAACCACTTGTCAAATTATTAGGAGATAGGACCTTAGATGAAATAGCTAACACACGACTTTTCCGACTAAAACAGAGAACTTTGCCATGGAAATTTACCATCCAACATCAACCAGGAAAAACAAACCTGGCAGCAGATGCTACTTCTCGTTACCCTGCAGAGAACGCAAAGGAATCTGATAATTCAGCCACATGCAATCAAAATGCTGATTTTGACAACACAGAATCCCTAATAATAGCCTCGATACGAAACGACATAGATAAAATGATCGCAGTAACATGGGATAGTGTCAAAGCAGAGACAGAAAAGGATACCGATTTTAAAGCATTAATGTTAGCAATAGAAAACGGTTTCCCAAAAAATAAGAACAACTTCATACCAAATCTTTTACCGTTCTGGGAATACCGCAATGACTTGATGGTGTCCGACGGGGTTATAATATACAATGACAGAATTGTAATCCCACCTACTCTACGGAAAGAGATATTGGACGTACTACACTCAGCCCACCAAGGAGTATCGGGAATGACGGCCAGAGCTCAAGCCACTGTCTTCTGGCCAGGTATCACTCACAGCATACAAAGTAAGCGCGATAACTGTTGCAGCTGTAATCGAAATGCACCTTCTAATGCACGACTACCACCCATTCGACCTCACATCCCTGTGACACCATTTGAATGCATATTTGCTGACTATTTTGAATTCCGTGGCTGGGATTATCTGGTCATTGGAGATAGACTTTCTGGATGGACCGAAGCCTACAGAATAAAATCAGGAACATCAGAAATGAGTGCAAAAGGTCTTATCACGTGCTTACGTAAACTATTTACAACATTTGGAGTCCCAGAAGAAATTTCAACCGACGGTGGCCCTCAATTCACCTCTGGAGAAACAAAAGAGTTTCTACAACAATGGGGCATAACTCATCGCATTTCATCAGCCCACCACCCACAATCTAATGGAAGAGCTGAGCTTGCAGTTAAGTCAACAAAACGCCTCCTCGAAAATAATGTGGGACCAAATGGTGATCTCAATAATAACGCTTTTGTAAGGGCAATGCTTACAATAAGAAACACACCAGACCCTACTTGTCAGTTATCCCCCGCTCAAGTATTATTTGGCCATCCCATTCGCGACGCCATGCCCAGGATAAAATCCAGAATACCTATGTTTAATAACAACCAATTCTTGAAAACGTGGAGACATGCATGGTCTGCAAAAGAAGAAGCATTACGAACAAGATATGCAAAGACCTTTGAATCATTTCAAGAACACACACGTTTTCTCACACCACTACATGAAGGAGACAGTGTCTTCATACAAAATCAAGTAGGAAACCACCCTAAAAAATGGGATCGTAGTGGAAAAGTTGTTGAATGTAAGGAAAATGACCAATACATCATTAAGGTTGAAGGAACAGGTCGACTAACATTAAGAAATAGAAAATATTTGCGCAAATTCCTCAACCCAATAAAGTCATACGAAACCGAAGTTGCATTGACCACACCACCAAGAACAAGCTCTAGTCATTATAACTCTGCCGATTTGCCAACACCATCTACAGAGTATGTGCCAGAAAGTAGCAACAAAGTCATACCATCCCAACCGGAACTAGCACCATCTACAGTATTGCTACCGCCTTCTACATTAGCACCAGCAGTACCACCACTACCTCTACCAACAACTCCAGTACCCTTACCGTTGATGCCAGCATCTTTATCAACAAGCTCGCCGCATCTAGCGATGCCACGTTTATTAGATACTGAAATCGTAGGAGATCAACCATTGAAACGTTCATCCAGGCTACGTATCCCCAAAAAATTCTACCAACCAGAAACCGGGAAATCTTTGACATTAAATGACTTTAAGAAATGAACCCAGAAATTATGTTTATATTCATGGACACTTAAAAACATGGAAGGGGATGTAGAAATAGTGACATTATTCATTTCTTGTTTTTATATTGTTTTTGTATTGTTTTATATTGTTGTTGTTTAAACTTATTGTTATTTCATTTAGAAACTAACATTGTTTAAGATATAATTATAATTGAGAACAACGACTAACTTTTGTTTAATGTCCTTTTATTATTCCAAGAAGTGAATGTAAAAAAGACCTTTCTGATGTTGAACTCTGTTATTCTCAGTTTACTTAATCTTGTATCTTATCTCAGATGTTAGATTCTAGAGACTTTTGGTTAGTCTTCAACAGTGTCATTAACTAAAGTAAGTTTAACATTTAACCTATAATTTATGGGTCTGATTTTTTTACTTATCCCCAGAATAAAGCAGAGTTATTTGAAAAGAAATCTTATTCTAATTTGACTCTTAAATATAATGACCATACTCTTCCTTCCAGTTAAGCAGATTAACACATTGTTAAACATACAAATCCCTCTGGCTTCCAATGCTAAAATAAATTCTCAATTAAACAATTCTACAGTTTGTGCTCCAGACAAGATTTCCATCATAGTCTTAAAAAAGTGTTCTCCAGAATTCTCTTAAATTTTTGTTAAACTTTTGCTAGGTGCTAAATAAGTAGTTCCAATTTTTTAAAACGCTAGAAAACATTTAGACCTCTCCGACTATCCTACGATTAGTCTTCACAATGTTATTAGTTGATTTCTTTCTTTTTTCTACAAATACTATCATGGTGAATGCTCAAAGAAGCTATAATCTCTATTATGATAAACTAAAAACTCATTCTTGCTTGGCTTTTTATTCAACAAGTTGTATCCTTTTATTGTATCTGTCCCTTCATGCTATAAAAACTTTTATTAATCCATTTTTTTTCTTACAAAAAAAACCTTACCCATTTTCATGCTTTCCTCTTTTATACAATATAAAACTTTTTAAGTCTTCAGTTAACTATTTTCTAGTATTTTAACTTATTCTCTATTTTAAAGTAACTCATAACTTAATAGTAGTTGCTTGCAATCTTGTTGTAAGTAAATTAGAGTTTAAAAATATATAAATATATGCCAGTATTTAATAAATAGTAAACATAACCATAAAATTATAATACATAAAGTATTAAAAAAACTTTTCTAGCCCATATCAACCACTGCTAAATCTTATAATTTTGCTGGGGCCAGGGCCCAAGCAGGGTTTGCAAAAAGTCTCTAGATGGGAGATGGGACTCTGGTCACTTCCTACTACCTAGCCACAATTTAACTTTATTTAGAACTATCTCCCACTATAGGTATTTTTTAAACTTTAATACAGACACACCTAGAGATGTGCTGAAAATAACCAATCAAAGCCTAAAACCAAAAACATTGCTTATACTTCAATCGAAACTCCTATTTAATTTTCAGTACAAATATAGCTTATCTAGCCATACCTCTTATTTAAGTTTGGTATTTTTTTTAAAAAAAAAATTTCTAAAATAACAATGATTCCTTAAAAATCCAAACTAAAAATTGTTAAGCTCACCAGTTTGTGTAAAAAATCAAAGTTGAATTCAATTTCCAGATTTCGTAAAAAACTTGCTTTATCACAGCTTTTTTCATATATTTTTCCACATGTTATTTCATCTGAAAAACTTAAACTTCTGAACCAACTTGACAACATATGCGAATGAAAAATAAATTGGTCATCAAAGATATTGCACAAAATACTGGTACTCATATTGTGCATTCTCATGTCTTTCTGTGACTTTCTTCTTTCCGTTTGAAATCAGAAAAATTGGTAAAAGCTACATTAATTACTAATCTGTTATTTTTTAAAAGTTATCTATTATTGCATATAAAACTCTATCAAACAAATCTTTTGCAACACCTAGAAGATCAAACTTTAAAACAAAACAATTCAATATACGTTGTTAAACCAAAATATTGCTCATTGCATAATTTTTCATACCATATTTATAAACACACACACACTTTAGAAGAATTAAAAAAACAAATGAACTATGAACTTTTTAAAATATTTTTTGTGCCAACTGTTTGGATGCTTCTGAATTACAGCATCACTGTTGTGATTTTTGTGAATAATGGCACTTTAATCTTTAACTATTATTTTTATTATTGTTGTATATAAAATTGCTTCTTTTTATTATTGTAAATTACATTTTTTCTATTTATACTATCCAAATTATTCCAAACATCTTATTATTTCTAAAGTTGATTGTACAATTTTAAACCACTAATTAAAAAATTAATTTACGACTATAATTGACATATTGTACTTTAGGGTAATTCTGACATGTTTGCAAGTCTTTTCCAACCATTTATATCTTCTAATAAAAGAAGCATCTTTTATTTTTATATTTTTTTTAATTTTGAAAAAGTTTTACATCATTTATTTACTTAATTAATCCATTAAACTTAATAAAATTTTAACTAAATAAATGAGACATATTTTTACTCTCATAACGAATCTAGCGAGCCCTATTTGTCGCACCCAGAATTTAATGCAATTTTTAGTTCAAAATTTTTAGTTCAAAAAAAAGTAGTTAAAATCTCACCTGTTTGAACATATTATAGGAAAACTGGCTTCTTGATTAAAATCAATTTTAGATTCATTTTCAGATATAAACTCATCATTTAAACGATAAGCGCGTATAGTAGATGCACCATTTATACTTTCAAAAAAGTGATTGTAGATTGGTGATCGCCTTACAGATTCAATACGTTGAAGTTGTCGTGATGATACCACATAAAAGCGCTATAATGCATTCACCAAATCAAATTATCATGTAATCATAATTTGTGTTATTTATATTATTACCCCTAAATTGTTCAATAACAGGCATTTTTTAGCTTAAATTTAATTTTTTACTGTTGTTTTTTCTTTAAAAAATATGTATGAAAAAATATTTTTATCACAAGAAATATATTTATAAATCCTAAACATAGCAAAATAACTATTAGGTGAGTCAGTAACAGATTATGCTATAAATAATTATTATTGTAATATAAAGTTAACAGCCACATTTTGTCCACATTTAGACTTAATCACTAAAAGAAAATTTTATGTATATATACCTATATACGTGTCAAGCTTTTTCTACTTCTTAATTAGAAATTAAGAATTGGTTGGTGTTTGTTTAGATACTTCAATTTAAAAAAAAATTTATAAATTTCAATTTAGGTATCGTGACAAAAGGAACCAACCAAATATCTTAATGTCATTTGTTTTGAACTACTGAACAGCTACTTCGATAAGAATTTTGGATCTTGACCCTATCGAAAGATGAAACTAGATAATTAGAAAATTAGAGATAAGAAACATCTATGGTGCTTAATCTCAACTTTTATTTCATAATATTACTGTAAACTTGTTTTGTCATAATTCCATCAAAGAATTTGAGTTTTTCAACACCACTCTAAGCAAAGAAACTTTTAAACATCAATCTTCCTATAATAAAAAGGAAAAAAATAAGATACAATTATAAAGAATATTGTAATATTTTAATAAAGCTTAATAGCACCTTCTTCATATTTAAGTCTCATAAATTTAGGATTTTTTCTCCATTTGTGTAATCAGAACTAAACACTTATTTGTTTCCATAAAATTGTCACCATTGCTCAGGAGTGCATTATAAATGTTACTTATCCCAATCTTTTCTTTTGATTCTTTTTATTTGACAATGCTGTCAATGCTGACAATGTTGGAGCAAATCTTGCTACAAAAAAACTTGATTACTAAAATGATTGGACATCATTTGCTTAGCATATTTTTGATGGATGTTTTCAGATATATATATATATATATATATATATATTTAAAAAATAATACTGATTAAAAAATTTATATAAAAGTATAAAAAATTGTTTTTATTTAAAAATCATTGACAAGTATATAACATATAAATGTGACAGACTAAAACATACAATTGTATATAAAAATGTTATTGAACTTTGAGGCAATAAAATATCAACTTATAAAACTGCAATTTATTAAAATTTGTGCAAAAATAAAAACAAAAATTTAAACTTTAAATTAAACTTTAAAATTAAATTTAAATTCCTTTTTGCTTTTTTTGTAAATTGCACATCTTTTTTGCATCAATTAAACAACATTTGTGCAAATTTTAATTAAAAATGGTATAAAATTTTTTGTATTAATGGTATTAAATTTATTTATTACCTTTATTTATTTGCCAGCTCTTAAGATTTGATTTTTGGTAATTTTTTATCAGCTTTTTTTTTGGTAATTTTTTATCTTCTATCAGCTTCTAACAGCCGCAGAAACACCTAAACCTTTTCAAATACAGTCAATAATAATTTGCTTTTCCTAAGCAAAGTATTATTGACTGTATTTGAAAAAAAAAACATTTATTGTTTTTGGTGAATATGTTAATAAGTTCTTGATTGCTAAACCTTTTTTTTTTTTTTTTTTTTTTTGACATCATTTCCAACAAGGCTGGAAGCAACCACTACAAGAGTTAGAAGTTACTGGAAGAGAAAAAATCGAAGTTTATAAAGCAAGATAATGAATGACAAATGGTTTAAAAGATTGCAAATTATATGAATCAAGAAAACAAGATGAGGAAGCAGATTCCAAAAAACTGATGTTTGAGGAAAAACACAAGACAAATAAGAATTTTTGGAGCATTTAGGAACAATAACAGTAAATGGATGTGACTTAATTGAATGATGAGAAACACAAGAATGAATTTTAGTAGATGGCGCAAAAGATGCTTTGTCTTCAGAGCAGTGCCTATTATAATATTTATAAAAAAGACAAAGAGAAGCAATATTATGACAATGTTATAATAATTGGAGGTTGGCAGCAAAAGCAGGTCCAACTATGTCTACAATGAGTTTTTGCATCTTGTCTAAAAGAGAATGGATATCATTGGAAGATATGGCAACAGTACTCCATACAAGGACGGATTTGAGATTTAAAAATAAAACTAATAGAGTCCTAAGTAAGAAAGTAGCAAGCATAATAAAGCAATGCAACACTAGCAGATGCTAATTTTGCAATAAATTTGATATATGGTTTCCAAGAAAGATCAGAAGTAAGAGTTGATCTAAGAAGATGAAGGGTAGACGACTTATCGAATACATTACTGAGTTAAAGTTCACCATTTGAGCTAAAATTTACCAGCCACTGAGAGCCCTATGCTGTAGCAAAAGTGAGATCCTTTTCAAGCTGAAATGCTCCCTCTAAGCAATCAGAGAGTGTTGGCCTCTTATCAAGACAAGAATAAATGGTAGTATCATCAGCAAAGAATGCAACCTTTGATGTAAGAATTTCTGGAAGATCATTAATTTAAATTAAAAAGAGATTGATAGCCTTAGTCTCTCTCCACATTGATCTAATGCACAATAAAACCAATCAATTATTACCGTTATCAAATTTTGTTGCAATATCAGGTAGAATGCGATGAGTGGAATCAAGAGATGATATAGATAATAAGTTCTTAGCAAACAATTTAGCCTTGTCTTTAGGTGAAATGATAAATATCTGAACCATACAAGAGATGTGTAATAACAGATTTTCCCTTATTATAGATACTGTTAAAGTTTCTCTAGAAGTCACGAGAGCCTAACTTTTAAGATGATATACAAGATTGGTGACTTGAAAATAGCGGGCTTTGGTTTAGACAAAGCCTATTTTCTAAAATCTGTTTTCTAGAAAACTATTTTGCTGATAGATATAAAAGTAATAGTTTTAATTGGAATCATCGAGAGGTAATAAAAGATTCCAAGCCATGAATCTAAGAATTATGTAAAAAGCACATTAGTCAACAGGAAGACAAAAGATTCCTACCCAAGGGTCATCATGAAGAAACTACAGAAAGAGTTGATGTAGAGAGGCTGTTGATGGAATCAGCCTCTCTGAAAGCTATCACAGAGTTTGGGAAACCTGAGTACAATCTGGCCTCAGAACCATAAAACTGAATTTTAATCATTATATAAAGTTTTATATGAAATTTCATAGGAAATTGTCAAACTAAAACATAATTTAGTATAGCTAAATTTATTTTATTATCTGTATTTCTTCAGTAAGAGTGCTCAATGAATAATATCAAAGCTTTCATTTTTTTTGTTTGAATAACTTCATGTTTACTACTGAAAGTTTCATGTGTTAGCAATTATCAGGTAAAAAATATATTATGTTATTTTGTTAAAATATTTTGTTCATATTATACACAAAAAAAAATGTGCAGAAAAAATTACTCAAGTCTTTAGCACACAAGTGTTTTAATATCACAATGGGCTGTTTTGATGATGTGGAAGTTTGTGAACTAGTGGGCCTATATATACTAAACTCGCTATCCACAATATCATTGAAGTTTTGAAAACAATTGGTTTCGTTAATTTTTTAGATGTATCTTTCAACCTAATAAAAAAATCTATTTCAACCTTTTAAAAAACCAAATGAAAAAGCCACGTTACATCCACACTCCTCAAATCCTTAAACAAATAATAATCTCCATTAGCAACAGATTATCACAAAATTCTTCAAATGAAAACACATTTAGTCTATCAATACCAGGATACCACGAAGAATTAAGAATAAAAGAAGAATAAAACCAACAAAAGAATAAGAAGAATAAAAACCAACAAAAAAAAAATTATATCTAAAAAATCAGATGAACACCCACCATGCAATTGCATAAACAAAAAAATTGCCCAATGAAAAGAAAATGTAGAATCTCAAATATTACTTTTAAATGTACAACGTTACCCCCCAACATTCCAGAAAAAGTATATATTGGCTTATCAAAAAGCAAATGGAAGAAATGATGGGTAATCACAAACACTACTTCACAAATAAAAAACTGAAAAATTTAATCACCATTTCCAAAAACATATGGCAAATAAATGAAAATCTCAAAGAAACACCCAACTTAATCTGGTCAATAATTAAAAAAGTTCCTGCTTACATCACAAAAAAAAATGCTTACTTTGCTCTACAAAAAACAAGTTCATAAAAAGGTACCTCAGAATTGCTGAACAAAAAATCTAATTACTAAAAAAAAAAAGATTAACAATACTAAATGTACATTAGTCAAGCAAAATAAAACTAATTTGACTTTAAAAAATACAACACTTTTGTTTTTGTTTTTAATATTATATTGCAATTCCATTTCGAGGAAACAGGGTTCTCTCAAAAAAAATGACAAATTCAAAAGAAAAAAAATTTAATATGGTTCAACCCTCTCTACAGTAAAAGTGCTCCTACCAATGTTGGACATATCTTCCTAAAATTAATCGACAAACATTATTCTAAAGAAATTATTCAATTGAATTAAAATTAAAATGAGTTATAGCTGCACCAAAAAATTTTATCCAAATTTTTGTGACAAAAAAATGGTTACTTTGCTCCTCCAACAAACTTTTAATAATGACCTAGAACTGCTGATCTAAAAATCTGAAATTATATCAATGTGTGGTCACAAAAACAAGTTTTTGCTTTACAACTACAAAACCAAAGATTAGGAAATCAAAGGATTGAAACACGCTTGCAAACAATAAATAATTTGTTATTGATTCTGCACATTTTTTTTCGCGTATAATTTTTTTTTGTGTATATATTTATTGCCCACCTCAAACTGTTAGAGGTCAGCTGATAGTCAGCAAAAAAAACCTGATACAAAGGGTTTACCATAAAACATAGAAACAAAGTCAGCAATTTTTTGCCGAACTCAAACACTTTAAAGTTGTCAGTTAGGTCGGCATGCCGACCCTTATTCCGAGGGTTGATATATATATATATCATATATATATATATATCATATATATATATATATATATCATATATATATATATATCATATATATATATATATATATATATATATATATATATATATATATATATATATATATATATATATATATATATATATATATATATATACATATATATATATATATATATATATATATATATATATATATATATATATATATATATATATATATATATATATATATATATATATATATATATATATATATATATATATATATAAATGCATACACACACACACACACACACACACACACACACACACACACACACACACACACACATATATATATATATATATAAATATATATATTCCTTGACATCTAATTTTTCCGTTAGTGGTTTAAAATCTCTTGTTTAAACACAAAAACAATTTTTTGTGTTTAAACAAGACAAAATTTATAAAATTGATTGTCAGGTCAAGTTATCCTGCACTGGTAACATGTAACCCAGTACAACCTGCTTCATGTTTTACTGCCTTGAAGGGTAGGCTATTTTAGACAAAGACTAAAAAAAGCCAACTCCGATTTAAAACACCCACTGCCTTGGAACACTTTGTTGAGTAAAGTCTAGAGATGGTGTCTCAATAAAAATACTCATCTTGGGCAAATGTTAAATGCATCCGGCTATTGTCTTGTAGAAGGCAAAGACTTAAGGGGTAAACAGATTCTATCTTTTGACTAGCCTCGCACTTCTTCTTCATCTATTAGGCTGACATAAATGTATTTATAATACATTGTTTTCAGTTTAGGATGTTGAATGCTGGGTTTTCTTGACTCAATGCATGAATTTTGCTTGTGTCTCTATTTTTATGACTAGGCAACTCATTCTGTTATCTCCAAATGAGGGTACAGCTCTAAAACTCAGTTTTATGGTTCTAAGGCCGGCTAGTAGTCAGGTTTCCCAAAATCTGTGGTAGCTATCAGAGAGACTGATTCTATCAACAGCTGTAAAATATCAAAGTATTAACAGTACCATGTTGCGCATGGATGGTGTCCCTGTTTGTACTTTTGGTGTGCATTCCCAAGGCCACATTGGAGCCTCTTGTTACTGCTTAGGGTTTATTAATAGTAATGAGGCAATTGCTTGGGCTATTAAACAGTGTACTGAGTACTACCTATGTTTCGAGTCGAGTTCTTTAACAAATATAAAAATGATTAAAGTTTCAAGAATTATAAAACACAAAAAACCACTGTCATCACCAAGTTCTCTAAACCTACCATTCACTAATACTCGTGGTCTTCCAAGTAACTTTTTTTCTATTGAATCTTATGTCTTGCAAAGTTTGCCAGACCTACTTTCTCTTTATGAGACCAATTTGAATTCAGCTGTCTCATCTTGTAACCTTAGTTCTTAAAAGCTGTTTCATCTTGTAGGCTAATTAGTCTTCTTCCTATCAAAAGCAAAATTCAATTTTTCAGCTAATTGTTATTGCAATAATTTAGACCTTCCAATATTTATGAACGGTAATGTACTCAATGAGTCATCTACCCATCATCTTATAGGATTAACTCTACTGATCTTTTTTTGAAACTATATATCAAATCGATTGCAAAATTAGCATCTGATAAGTTGCATCTCTTTATTGTGCTTGCCATTTTATTACTCAGGATTCTATTCTTTATTTCTATAAATCTCTAATCAATCCTTGTATGTAATTCTGTTGCCATATCTGGGGTAGATCTTTGAATGATACCCTTTCTCTTTTAGACAAAATGAAAAAACGCATTGTAAACATAGTTCGGCCTGCTCTTGCAGCCAACCTCCAACCATTATCATACCGTATCATTATCATTCTATAAGTGCTACTAGGTTGGTTGAAAAGTTCGCGGAGCGGAAATGAAAAAACAATTTTATGATTCAAAAAATGACTTTATTCTTCAGTATATTCTCCCTTAAGAGCAATACACTTTTTCCAACGATTCTCCAATTCATGTATCCCATCTCTGAAGTGCGATTCCGGAAGGCCTTCAAAATACCCATTTACGGCTGCAATGACTTCTTCATGTGATGAGAAACGCTTTCCACGTAGAAATTTTTTGAGATGTGGAAAGAGGTGGAAGTCGGACGGAGCCAGATCTGGTGAATAGGGTGGATGTTCCAAGCGTTCGTACTTTAATTCGACCAATTTCGCCTTTGCAACATCGCTGATATGAGCAGGTGCGTTGTCCTGGTGATAAATGATTTTTTTATGCAGCAAACCAGGTCTTTTCTCACGAATTTTTTTATCCAACTGGTCCAAAAGATTTTTATAATATTCACCTGTTATCGTTTTACCGGTTTGAAGGTAATCTATTAATAAAATTCCTTTCGCATCCCAAAAAACTGATGCCATAACCTTCTTTGACGATTTTTACGCCTTCACTTGCTTCGGAGCTGAACAACCGGGTTCTGTCCACTCTGCAGTTTGTTGTCGCAGCTTCGGATCATAGTGGTAAACCCAAGTCTCATCCATGGTTACGAATCGACGCACAAAATCTGTTTTATTCTTTTGAAAACGGGCCAAATGTTCTTGAGAAAGTTTTACTCGAGTGCGTTTCTGATCCAGAGTTAGCGAATGCGGCACCCATCTTGCCAACAGCTTTCTCAGACGTAATTCATTGTGCAAGATGTGTAATACCCGTTCATCTGAGATGCCCACAGCCTCAGCAATTTCACGTTTGGTCAATCGTCTATCATCCATAACCATGTCATGCACAGCATTAATCGTTTCTTCAGTAGTAGCACTTTTTGGACGTCCAGAGCGAGGGTCATCTTCAAGGCTTGAACGCCCACGTTGAAACTCCGCAGCCCATTTGCATACTGTTGTTTTTAAAGGAGCATCATCACCCAACACATTTACCATTTCATTATGAATTTCCATGGGCTTTAAACCTTTTTTCACAAAGAATTTTATTACAGCACGATGTTCAATATTTTCCATTTTAAAAAATACTATGACACGTCTAATTTCAATAGCTTGTAAACAAAGACTGAAATGACATATCGACTTGAAATTTTTTATGCGTTCATACGAAGAATGAATACGTTTAATACAGTTATAAATTTGTTTCTACTACTGCAACATAGGTGCCGCTCCGCGAACTTTTCAACCAACCTAGTATAATGTAGTTCTTAAAAGCTTGTGTCTATCGTACCATCTATTAAAATTCATTCTTGTGTTACTCGTCATTCTTATTTTCAAGTCAAGTCTTATTTTTTCACTGTGGCTGATCTTAAGAGCTCAAAAAACAACTTATTCATCTAGCTTTTTTCCTCAAACATCAGTTAATTGGAATTCACTTATTTTATCTTGCTTTCCTGATTCATATAATTTGCAATTTTTTAAGTCATCTGTTAAATGAAATAAAAGATTGCAAATTATATAAACCTTTATCTTGTTCTATAAACTTCATCTTTTTTTTTCCAGTAACAACCAACACCTGTAATGGTTGCTTGCAGTCTTGTTGGAACTGAAGAATGGAGAATACAAATTAAACTTTATGGTTTTTTAAAAAACCACAAAAAGGCAAATAATAGACTATAATGTTTTAAAAAAATTTTCTATTTTAATTTTTTTACTCTTTAAATACATCAACTGAGAAACAGATAGAACATGCAAGGAGTGCCGATACTTCAACTGATTAATAAGTAGAGCATGCAAGGAGTGCTGCTACATTGACTGTGGGTTTGGTTTGGCCAGGCAGTCTACCAATTAAAAAACAGTTTACATTTTATGGTAAAAATTAAAGATGACTTAGCAAGAGTATATATATATATATATATATATATATATATATATATATATATATATATATATATATATATATATCTTGCATAGTTGCTTTTAATCTTACCATTGCTAGGTCAGTTTTCGGTTTTTTTAAAAAAAAAATTATTTTGAAGACTGAAAAAAGATTTTTTTTTTTTCAAATAATAATTTTTTTTTTAAATAATTAATTATTTGATATACTGCCTGCCCTAACCAAACTCTCAGTCAATGTAGTGGCACTCTACTGCAAATCAGGCTATTTGTCAGCCGATGTAGCAGCACTCCCTTGTAGCAGCAGGCTATAAGATAGTCGATGTAGCAACACTCCCTTGTAGCAGCAAGCTATAAGATAGTCGATGTAGCAATACTCTGCGCATGTTTTACAGTTAAAAATTAAAAATAAAAAAATTCAGAATGTTTTTAAAAACATTCTAGTTTTTTAATTTGCGTTTTTGTGGCTTTTTAAAAGAACTTTAAATTTAATTAGCTTTCTCAATTAAATTAATGTGTTTTGTTGTAATCTAACCTTAATTTTGTCAGTTTAGATACAAAAGACAAGCTAACAACTGTTTTTTACCACAAACTGTATACTTAACGCCTTTACTATAGGAATATATATATATATATATATATATATATATATATATATATATATATATATATATATATATATATATATATATATATATATATATAGAGAGAGAGAGAGAGAGAGAGAGAGAGAGAAAGATATATAGATAAATAAAAGTTTACTAAAATCAAAGAAACAAATATTTACTAAATAATAATTCAAAACAAACCTGAGTTAGAATGTAGGCTACACCAATAGGTACAAATGCAGCAAGAAAAATAGGAGTAGTATAGCTTATTATAAATATTGTTCCACATAATGTATAAAAACATGAAACAAATGATTTTATGGTCATTGGAATAAACTCATCAATTAAATTAATGTCTTTTGAAAATCTATTGACAATCCGTCCAGCTGGGGTGCTTTCAAAAAATGACATAGGACATCTTAGAACATTCTTTAGCAGATTATTATGCAAGGCTTTAGATGCTTTTATGACACCAAAACAAAGAAATACTGCTCGAAACATTGCTGATAAACCTTGTGAAACGCCTAGTGCTCCATAAATACCAAGATATAAATCTTGTTCATGATTAGAGGCGTTTTGGTTAGAGCTCCATTCAGCTAACCAAATACTTGAACAGAGTGAAAAACCTTCTGATATCAAACCAAAAAATAGGAACAAGATAGTCAACAAAATGCTCATTGACTTAAAGTAAGTCAAATAAACAGAACGCTTCACCTATTGCATAAAAAATTGAAAAAACTATTACTACCACAACAACAAGAAAAAAATAGAAACTAAAAATACCTTTATACAACTTTTAGCTAGCTTTTTCTTATTTTAATATTAGTTAGGAGACTAATTTAAAATTTTAAATAATACTAAAGAGCATCACAAGGCTCAAAAAGCAATTGCAAGAATGACTTAATAGATAATACAGCAACTAAGCCTTTGACCACTATGAAACAATTATAAAACTTTCAAGTTCAGGAAAATCCTAGATTTTTCTAAAATCTGAAAACTGTGCAGAAAATTAAGCAGGCCAATAGCCCATTTTTTGACTAATGATATCTTAAATATGATAAATTGTTAAACTAGTGCAAAACTTCTTATAAAATGACAATAACTACCTTTTCTAGTTTTTACCAAAATTTAGGGCAAAGTGAGATAAATCATTTAAAGAATAAAAAAACTAGTAAAATGTTAAATTTCAAAAAACTTAAAGCAGATTTTTGATAAATTAGATCTAAGTAAATTTGAATAATTTGAACCAAAAACAAAAAGTTTAAAAATTTATTATGAAACCATGTAACTAAAAATATTCAAATAAAGTATCCATATCTTTAAAATTCTTTTTAAAATATTATTTCTGTTCATCAAAAAGCACATTTCATAAATCTGCCAATGAAATAAATATGTAAACTACTTTTATATCAATTTTATGTCTGTATAACATGTCAAAGGAAAGAATCTTTTGGTATTTTAAAAGTCTTAGAAACTTGTCTTAGAGACATCTGCTTTTACGACAGATTGAGTATTTCTCATGTCATCTTAGTTTCGGTTAGCTTAATTTTTTTCTTGTAGTTTTTTATTCAGAAAATTTGGGTTTACAGAGATATTTTATTTTAATGCTTTATTCAAATAAAACATAAAAAAATTATTTAAATTAGGAATAAGTAATTATATAAGACTTAAGTTATTTTAAAAGTATGAAAATAGTTATTAGTCCATCAGTTGGTCCAGCCAGAAAAATGGAAAATGTTTCCATTAAACATTTGGTTGTTTGAATTAAAACAAATCTTAAGGAGTTATAAGTTTTAATAAGCGAACTAACTGAAAAAATTTACAAATTGACATGACCTTTATTTCTGGATATTGCCTCATCATTTGCCAAACCTGGCACCCCAAAATCTTAAAATTATAAAAACATTTAAAAACTCAAAAATTAGTTAGAATAAGTAAAAAAAAGCCATATTTATTGGCATCCATCAAAAAAAACCTAATTGAAAAAAAGAAGAAACTTCAAGACAATTCAAGATATTTTGCATTCACTAAATCTCAATGCCAATGTCAAAGTATTTATTAGTAGTAAGTTTTATTTGAAAAAAAACAGATAATCACTCTTTCAAGCTTAAGTGTTTTTATACAAATTTTACATCTTTAAACAAAGAAAAATTACTTAAACTATCTGATATTGCTATCTCCACATCTATAGACATCAACAAAACATGATTGTGAAACATAATCTCCGAATATAAAAAACTATGGGGTAAAAATATATGAAATCATCTAGACCACGACACCCTTACGTCTCAGAATTTGTTTATTTTTACACCACTTGCAGTCCATATCAAAAAAATAATAACTGCAAAAATTTTAGTTAAAAATACCAATGGGTTCCATAGATATTGTCACTTGAAATAATGCTGACTCAGCATTTTAGTGATTTTCTGAAGCGACTACAAAGCAACTTTGACATACAGTATCTTCATAATGGCTTGGGGAAATTTCTTAAAATTTGGTACTCTAATAGATTTTAACTTGAGGAATCCAAAAATAGCACTCTTAAGACTCGATTATCTCAAGAAATGCCTCATTTATCTAATTTTATTTCAAAATTATTGACTACTAAATTAGTGATTTTTGGAGGTAAAATTAAGACTGTGGCCCAAAATCCCAAGTAAAAATTTTAATTGTATATCATTATTTCATCTTAGGTCTACTGAAAAAAATTAGATTCATCAATTGTCTCTCTAATACGTGATCAAAACTTGCATTTAAAAATGGTGTCTTTTTAGAAAAATTTAATTTTTGTAACAAAAGCAATTAAAATATTTTTTAAAACATTTATTTGAAATCTCCCTCCACTCCCATGGGAGGCCCCTATGCCCCCTCCCCCAATCTCCCTAGATTTTTTTTTTTTTTTTTTTGCATAAAATGAATAAATAATGCAAAAACATACAATTTATACTTAATTTTGAAAAAAAAAATTTCATTATTTCAAATTGGTGACTTAAAACCTTCTTTTATATAAAAAACAAACATAAGTTTTGTTTTTTTCTTTTTAAAGGTATTTACTTGTTTGTATTTTCTTAAAGAATTACTTTTAATTTTATAGTTTTTATATTATTTTGTTAGGTAATAAATAATAAAAATAATTAATATGGAGAAACGTGACATTGGAAAAAGTCTTAACATTCATTGCCACAAAAATGGATTTTCAAGAAAACAAGGTTTTGTTCAATTTAAAGATCTTCCTTGTGAAACAAGAAGAAATAATATGGCGAGCAAATTTAAAGGAAAAATATAGTTCAATAAGAATTATATGTTGTTATCATGAGCAATTCTATGGAAAATATTTTGAGAGAAAAATTACAAAGTGTTGCAATCCTTTTGGAACACACAAAAAAAGTAAAAAAATTGCTATAAAAGGTAATCTTACCTTATTTACAACAGAATTGATATGGAAATTAAAAGAAAACAATTTATTATTTATAAAAAGTTTTATAATTTCAGTTATTTTAACAACGTAAAACTAAATTTGTTTTTTAGGTAATATAAAGATTTCCATAGACATGGCAAACTATTTGCAAAAAAATAATGTTTATGTAAGCCCAGGTTGGAAATTCTGCAGTAAATGTTACAAAAAAGCAATAGAAACTGATGAAGATTTAAATTCACAGGAGGAATGGGAATCAAAAAGTGAGAAAAAAACTAGGTTAGATACCACTATAGAATTGCTTGGAATCTCATCGGTCAAACTAAAAAGTCTTTCAAAACACAGCAAATTGCCTGTAGCAAAACAAAAGTTTGAGAACACTATTGACAGAGTTGCAAAAATGGTCTCATTAGCATATAATATTAAAGAAACTTTTTTAACAACAGAAATAAAAAGCCCCATTTTAAAAAACAACATTAACAATGACCATGATCTAGACATTTTAATGTATGAAATAAAAAATAAAATTTCAGAGACTGACTCTTATCGCCATAAGGTGCAAATGTTAACACTCGCACCAAAATCATGGACACGTAAAAAGATATCAAGCTACTTTGAAGTGTCTGAGTATCTTGTTCGAACAGCAAGAAAAGTTAAAAATGAGAATGGAATTCTATCATTACCCGGGAAAAAAACTGGAAACCCACTTTCACCAGAAACAGTTAATTTAGTGATTAACTTTTATCAAAGTGATGAATTTTCAAGAATGATGCCAGGAAAAAAAGATTATGTAAGTATTAAGAAAAACCAACATGTTCAAAAAAGATTATTGCTACTCAATCTTAATGAATTACATGTTACATTTAAAAAAGACTACCCTAACGTCAAAGTCAGTTTGTCAAAGTTTTGTACTCTTAAACCTAAATGGTGTATTACAACTAATGCGTCAGGTACCCACAATGTATGTGTTTGCATACATCACCAAAATACAAAATTTCTCATTGATGCCATTAGGTGGAATAAAAGTTATAAAGATTTCATGGCATTGATTGTTTGCTCTCTTGAAAATGCAGAATGTATGTTGCATCGATGTAACCAATGTCCTGGTATTGAAGCGTTAAAAAGTTTTTTAGTGCAGGAGTTTATGGACCATGAGCATGAAGAAGATGTAGTATTTAAGCAATGGCAGAGTACAGATTGTACAACACTACTTTCACAGTCATTGCCACTAGATGAATTTATTGATTTATTATGTGACAGTATTGACAACCTTACCACTCATTCATATATTGCAAAAACACAAAGTAGATACTTAAAAAACTGTAAAGAAAATCTTAACCAAAACGAATGCTTAATTTTAGGAGATTTTGCTGAAAACTATCAATATGTTGTTCAGGATGAGGTTCAAAGTTATCACTAGAGCAAAAGTCAATGCTCACTTTATACAGTTGTACTTTATTTTATAGAGAACAAACTTCTCAAACATAAATCTTTTTGTTACCTTTCAGAAGATCTTGATCATGACACAGGATTTATTTACAATAACTAGATATATCAAAGAAAATCTACCTGATGTATCAAGTGTGAAATACTTTTCTGATGGTTGTGCAGCACAATTTAAAAATTTTAAAAATTTTATCAATCTTTGTCATCACAGTAAAGACTTTGATTTAAATGCTGAATGGGTATTTTTTGCTACTAGTCATGGTAAATCCCCCTGTGATGGTATTGGTGGGACTGTTAAAAGAGTAGTATGTCAAGAAAGTCTAAAACAAATAACTACTGGGCAGATTTTAGATGTTAATTTAATGTACTCCTTTTGTAAAGCCAAGATAAATGGAATTTATTTTAAGTTATTTTCAAAAGAAGAAATTGATCAAACACGAGCACAATTAGAAAAAAGATATTTAGGTGGAAGAACAGTTCCTGGCACAAGGATGTATCATCATTTTATTCCAATTGCTCCAAACACTATAAGTTATAAAAAAATAAGTATTGATGCATGCACTGAAATATTTGATATCATTCCAAAAAGCAAACATTATGTAGATATTTCATTAAATATTAAAAAAATGGATTATATTGCATGTTTTTATGATGGATTTTGGTGGGTAGGGATTGCTGAAGATGTGTAAGTGAGCTTGATATAAAAGTCAGATTCATGCATCCACATGGACCAGGTAAAAACTTCTTTTGGCCAATAAGAACTGATGAGTGTTGGGTGCTCAATTCTGAAGTTATATGCCTAATTTCTACACCCACAACAATATCAGGTCGTACATACAACATAACTGATTTAGATTTGGAGAATATAAACTGTTGGTTACAAAAAAAAATTAATTATGCTTAAAATAATTTTGTTTTTATTTTATTTACCTAATTTGCATTTTAAATGTCTTTTATTTTTTTCAAATCCTTGGATTGTAGGCTGAGAAGGAGGGGTGGGGGTTTAAATAAATCACTCCCATCTTATTATGTCAATGACTATATTAGTCTAAAACTACATAAAGATATTTATTGTCAATATGTTTTAAAAACATTTAAAAATATTTGTTTTTGAAATTTATGACTTAAAATCGTAAAAAGATCTTTGAAATATGAGGTAAGTATTTATCGATTTGAATTAACGCAAATAAATCGTTTCTCAAACTTAAACTGAAAAAATATGTTTTTAAAATGTATTTTAACAATCGACTATTATTTATTCATTTTATGTGAAAAAAAAAAAAAAAAATCTAGGGAGATTTGGGGAGGGGGCGGAGGGGCCTCCCGTGGGTAGGGAGCGCATCTCCCTTGGCCCATGACTTTAAATGTTTATTTAAATTTAAACTAGTCAATAAATAACACTATTTGGTGTTTTATTCAAATAAATGTTTTATAAAATATTTTAATTGCTTTTGTTACAAAAATTAAATTTTTCTAAAAAGACACCATTTTTAAATGCAAATTTTAATCATGTATTAGAGAGACAATTGATGAATCTAATTTTTTTCAGTAGACCTAAGATGAAATAATGATATACAATTAAAATTTTTACTTGGGATTTTGGGCCACAGTCTTTATTTTACCTCCAAAAATCACTAACTTACAAGTCAATAATTTTGAACAAAATTGGATAAATGAGGCATTTCTTGAGATAATCGAGTCTTAAGAGTGCTATTTTTGGATTCCTCAAGTTAAAATCTATTAGAGTACCAAATTTAAAGAAATTTCCCCAAGCCATTATGAAGATACTGTATGTCAAAGTTGCTTTGTAGTCGCTTCAGAAAATCACTAAAATGCTGAGTTTCAAGTGACAATATCTATAAAACCCATTGGTATTTTTAACTAAAATTTTTGCAGTTATTATTTTTTTGATATGGACTGCAAGTGGTGTAAAAATAAACAAATTCTGAGACGTAAGGGCGTCGAAAACTATTTTTTTTGGATGATTTCATACATTTTTACCCTATGGTCTTTTCAGACATGACAAAAATGGTCATGGAGGCTTTCTATTAAAGAACTTGCTTAAACATAAATGATTAAGGCATTTTTCAAGTTCATTCTTTACTTTTAAACATTCTGAACAACTATGGCTTTCACTCCCAATCAGCAGCAGTAACAAGTTCCTGATTGGATGTATATCAAGCGAATCAGTAGAAGCAAACTTTATTGACACACTCAATAATTTTTTCTTGTGTCAATGTATTCACTCACCAACATCATATAAAGCTAATCGAATACTGGGAATTCTGAAAAATAAATTTATATCTAGAAATTTTACTATATAGAGTAAAATTTATAATTTCCCACATCTAGAAATATGCAGTGTCAATATGTTCACCTTATTTAAGAAAAGATATTAAAATTTCAGAGAAAATTCAAAAAGGTGCTTCAAAGATACAACACATTTTTCGTTACCTTAAAAGTTGTCAGGCAGCAAATCACAAACTCTTTCAAAAATAGCTTGGACAAATACATTAAATTTTTGTTTAATGTATTTGTCTATACTTAAAAGTCTCACAAAACTGCAAAATGAAAAAGCAGTCCCAAAGTTACTACAGTTTTCAAAGAATGACTTTGGCGCTTGACGTTGTTGCTTGCAGCAGATAGGATGGTTTACAATAAAACTTTTTGTCCATAACTAAAGTTACTAATGCTACTAATATTATCATTATGTTTTGCTTTTACTAATAAAAATTTTAATTAACTTTTTTTTTTTTAATAAAAATTTTAAATTATTTTTATTCATAACAATATTTTTACTTTTTTAATTCTTTTTAAAGTATTAAACATCTTAAACATCGTCAAAACAAAGTAACATAAAAATAAATTTAAAATAATTTTTTAACAATATCATTAACAAAGTCTAACATTTATTCTCTCATATACAAGTTTGATCTTATTGCCATTCCAAGGACTCACTTTTTTAAATAATTTTTCAATTTTTCTGTTTACTGATTTTGAGTCTAGCAACGTACTTCCTATCAATTGCTACCAATTTTGATTCTCTTTCTACTACTAGATTGTTGACTGTTATAAGATGTACTGTGTTGTACTGTGCATTAAATGGAGGCGGCGAGGCAAGAGCTATTGCCTTGCTTCGTCACATAATAAAGGCATAAGATAAAATCTGTTATGCTGATATCTATAAGCTAGTTCAATGTAGTTCAATGTATTTGGGAAAACTATAAACTATTATATGTGTTCCTAAATTTTAAATCTCCTTAATTTCCAGTAACTTCTGAGGTACTACCTTGTTCCATCCTTGTTTATGTTATTCCTCATATATGTTAATAATTATCATATTAATTATTTTTCTAGATTTGCTCTTTTTATTGATGGTAGAACTATGTATTTCATCTTGAAAAAAACTCATCACTTTTTATTGTTTAAAACAGAAAACAAATCTAGAGTGTAAAAACATCAGCCACTACAAACCCTATTGTTTACTTATTGCAATATTTTCATTATTGCAACATTTGATTGATAAATTGTCTACTTTAATTATTCTTTAATCATTCTTCGCTCCTGACCTCTGATGGAAACCATAAACACATTCTAAAGCTAAGTTATCTTTAAGATAACTTAGCTTTGAAATGTGTTTATTGTGCTCTCTTTATTGTACTTGTCAAAATGTCTTGTTTGTTCTTGTATAAAAGGTTGTCATATTTGAATTGGTTTATCTGATTGAACATTTGTTTCTTATTTTAAAATGTACCCATCAAATTACATTTCACCTAGAACCTAGAGATTAAAGTTTAATATTTTGAGGTTAATGCTCAGAAAAAAAAAAACACTACAGAATGCATCATGTTGCTTTCACAGTTAACCACCTTATAAAAATCAGTGTATCTGGTTAAAGTTATTTGAACAAGGTTAAATAAAAATAAAACTTTATAACAAAACTCTATTAGTTTTGTTAACAAGGCTAGAAAAATTGATAATAATGAAATTCGACCTTAACATGATGTAGTTATTTTACATCTATACCAATTGAGAGTAATCTTTTATTGTCAGTGTTGCTGACTGTGATAATAGTTGCTGTTTAAATTGAGGATAGTTTTAATGACTTTTGACCATAATGGTTAATTTTCTTAATTTTCAAAATACCAATTCTTTTATTTTCATTCTTAGAATACAAGTTTTTTGTACTGTAATGTACACAGTTTTTACTAAAAACCTTTTAGTTCAAAAAACAACATTCATGAATATAAAAGAATAAAGAAAATAGTTTTAGTAATTTGTATTTCCTAAATTAAAGTACTTTGTATAGGCTTCTTAAATTTTCAGAACAACCTCTAGTCTTTGTCGCATTAAGGCAATAAGAGACTTACAAAACTCAGAAGTTACTTTATGATAACTAATTTTTATTATTTCAGCTTTTCTCTGATCTGTTAATGAGGCTAGGTTCTGATCAAAAACTTATAAATTTTTAAAAAAGTTTTTAATTTTACTAAAAAGTTTTTGATAGGGCTTAAATTGAGTTATTTGTTCAAAAAAAAAACATGAGCATTTACTGCATTTTATTGAAGCCATGTTTTGACTGTTTTTGAAGAATGGCTGTGAGTATGAAAATACCATTTAAGCCCTTTTATATGTATATATATATATATATATATATATATATATATATATATATATATATATATATATATATACACAACATAACTTTTATCATTTAATAAATTATTGTTGATTTTACTATACTTTTTAAGAAAAAAAGGCTGTTCTTATTTAAAGATTCAATGTGTTATTGAGAAGGCTAACTGCTTTGCAACAACTGATTGCAACAAAAAGTTTATAATAATTTTATAGCAATAATTAATAATTAATTTAATTTAATTGAAAATTCTTCTCGATAAAGTAGTTTTACCTCTTCTGTTACTCTGAGAAAAAACAACAAAATGAATACTAAGTATAGAGAATAGTTATACCTTTCCAGTTTTAGAAACTTCTTGGGAAATTAAAACTTCTGAACCTTTCAACGAAATGGTTTTTTCATGGCGTGCAAGAACTAGCTGGGCCTCTTTTTTGTACAACTCATTTTCATCAATAGTATCATTTTTGTCAGACTCATTATTTTTTAAATCTTCAAAAACTGATACACAGCTATTTGATGTATATGCAAGATTGGTAAAGCCTAAAGCTTGTTGCGGTTCAACCATATTGTTAATAATTCCAATATTTACACCTTCAGTAGCTATAAATAGATTAAAATATACTCTACAAAAATATAATTTTGTAAATATGATAAAAATAAAATAAAATAATAATATATAATAGATTATGATTATTATAATAAATAAATTGATTATGAACATCCTATTTACACAATATGATTATTTCCTAAGATAAATAAGATAAATTTCCTACATATACAATAAGATTAACTTATATCAAAAATCTTGTTCAACACAACAAAAGAAACAAACTTTCACAACATTTAGGTGTTTTATCATACCTGGTTTTTCTCACTCTATATGCACAATTTTTGTAAGTTAATAATGGCATCCTGAAATTAATTTTATATTGCTAATAGCTGTTTTAACAAAATAATGTTAAAAAAAAACCTTGTAAAGTCTAAAAAAAACTTAAAATTTTATGATGAAAAACTTAGCAAAACTTTATTTTCAGTGATGATGGTTTCAAATACAAGAGTTTGAGTTATATTTTTAAACATGAGAATAAAAATTTTTAAAACAAGGTTAGGCATCTTTCATTTCGTAAATATCTCTTCTTTCTGTTTCTTAATTAAGTTGTTATAATGATTTTTTTTGTAAACAATTTATTGCTTTTTTTTCTGGTAATCACAAAATGCATGTGCAACAGTTATCAGGTTCTCCAACAGCTTGCTTGAATTCAAATTTATAATTTTATTTCTGTAAATTTCGGTTTTATAAAGCAGCATAATTAAATATTTTGCACTCATTGCATAACACTAAATATATAATTGAATTTTGAAAACATGCTTTTTTAAAGTACTATTTTCAGGATTAATCTTCTATTATCAATACTTTCAGGACTGCTTCTTCTACTGTTAACCAAACTTGTGACTTTAATTAGACAAGCTTATTTATAAGCTTTCTTTTTTGTAACTGCTTTAAATAGCTGTTTTACTATTTTATTACGTTGTAATTTTATTTTATATAATCACTAGTTGGTGCTTTTTATATTTTAATATCATTTTTTTAACACTGTGAGAAGCTATTTTAATTAACATTTTAGCAACTCCACATGCCTCAATGTCTTGCTTTTATCAAGGAAATACAATTTTATAACATCTATGAATATAAAAAAAACTTTAAATTAACATTATTTTGGTAAAAAAATATATGAACCTTAGGATAATTTTTTATTTATTTTTTACTTTCAAATTTATGTTGTTACACAAACAAGAGTGTCACGGCAAGACAAACCGATGTCACATTGTGATGCATGCATTTTGAGCAATTTCTGTAAAAATGTAAATAAAAATTATGAAAAGTTTAGTTTTTATAATGTATTTAGGTTATTTCAATATTATATTAAAGTTAATTTTTTATTTAAAAAAAAATATAAATACCACAATCTTTTGTTTTCTTAATTATAAACACATTAATGCATATCATGGTATTGCTGATTTAATGTTCTTTTTCTGGTTTTGCATTTAATCAATCTTAGGACTTATTTGAGTACCATATAATATGTTTGAATAGTTTAAATTTGATGTTTGGCCTTTAAAGAAATATTCAAAATGCATGGGCAAATTATTTCTAATTACTTTTAACAAAAAAACATCAGATTCTATATTTCCTGTATCGTCAAAGATTTCTTCATAGAGTTTATTTTTATGTATTTTGAAATCTCTCTTGGGTTATATGTGCATCCTCATTATTAAACAAAAGGTTGAACTTATTGCATATAAAAGAAGTAAACATAAATTTTTTTCATCTTTACCAATCAGAAAAGAGTTAAAATATCCAATTTTATTGCAACCCCATTTGTGAAATGATTTACATTTAATACGTATTTGGCTAGAAGCTCTAAATTCTCATGTTAAAAATACAAAAATGACTTTGCAATTAGGGTACTCTTTTTACAAAAGATTTTCTCAGTAGTACAAAAGATAAGTCTCAGTAGCAAAGTTTGTTAAAAGCTATAATTTGAAAAAAATTTGATACATCCTAAAATTCATTTTTTTTTAAACTATTAAACTATTCCTATGTTCTATAACTTTTTAGTAACAATAAAAATAACTTCCTTTTTCTTTGAACTTTTTATTAAACACTGTTTTGACAGAACCTAAACTTGGTATTTCTTTTTACTTGACAAAGGGTATCACTTTTTGTATTACTATTTTCAACCACTTTGTATAATATTTTAATTTTATTCATCAAACTCTATATTTAGAGTTTTAGTTTGGTTTTCACAACTTTATTAAAACTAAAAAATAATTAAAGCTTTTAATGCATCAACTTCTATTTCTTGTTTTTCCATATTTCAATAAACAATTTTATCACTCTTTAGTTTCAATGCTCTTTTTTAGAGTAGACAGGCTTTCATTTGTTGCTGCATATAGTGCTTTACAATGCATGAATTGTTTTGCAAATTGTATTTTCTTTTTAAAGCTGGTTTTTATAGCTAATTCAAGTCTTTTATTTGCACTCTTTAGTCTTTTTATTATCACTAATATGAAACAATACAAATATTTCATAATACTAATTTTAAAATATAACATTACTAAGTATAAAATAAAAACAATACTGTGGGAAATAGTGATATCATTAGCAGCAGTAATAATAATAAAATTTATAGTTATATTAATAATAATGATTATAATGATTACAAACAAGTAATAATTAAAATGATAACTAGTAAACTCTCAACAAAAAAATCTATATTAAGAAAAAAATTTAATTAAGCTGTTTCCAACTATTAAGGTAAGGAGGAGGGGGAAGAACTATTAAGGTAAGGAGGAGGGGGAAAGGGAAAAAGTTCAAATTCTCTGCTAAGAAAAAAAAGATTTTCCAATCTTGTTGCTTTTTTAAATACAATTTTTTTTTTTTATATATATATTTGTGTAATTTTAAATAAGATTATTATTACTTACATATCTATATACAAATTTCACATCCTTTTTATAAAAACATGCCGAAAGACTTTTTCTCACCATTACCTTAGGTTTAATGGCAGCCAAAAGTTCTATGGCAAACATGCATAAGGAACTAGTACAATTAAGTTCAACATTGTTATATAAAAATAAACAATAGTAAAAATAACAAAAAAAATAAAAGATAAAAGAAAAATGAGAAAACGAACAGGAGGTTTTTTTAAACTAGAACAGGAGATTTTTTCAAAACTTGCAAAAGAAAAGTTAGAATAGCAACAGATATAGAAATCAAAAGTCACAACTTTTTGTATTATATTTTTGTTTCTTGAATTTTTTTTTAGAGCAAAAAAAAAAAAGCAGTTATTTTTTTGTATGCATCTCTCAAATTCAAGTTTTATGGAGAAAAATATAAGTTTGAATTAGAAAGATTGTCATCTAAGCCACAGAAAAGTTTTTTATTTAAAAAGTTTGTTTATTATCATTTACTTTTTTGCAGCTTCTGATCATATTTCTGATATCTTGAAACAATTTTTAAGGCAATAGAATTTCTGTAATAGAATTCCATGTTTTTATTACATACATACTCCTCAAGTAATCCTGCCAACAAGTTTTTAGTTTGGCTTGATAGAACAAAAGAAATGTTTTTATGTCATTGAAAGACTTAAAAGACTTTGATTTTCTAATTAATTGACATTGAAGTTTCCTCCTTTCATATTTATTGCAGCCATTTCTGTCAGGCAAATCTAACTATGCTTCTCTCCTGTGTACTTTTCATTTTTTAACTTTTTTCAAAAAATGAAAAATGTACACAACAATAGAAGAGATTGAAAACATCAACATTATTGTGTTTGCTTACATTTGAACTCATTACTACTTGCATTTGAATTTTAAACAACACTTAAAATTTTAGTAATTAGTACCTTGGTTATCCGATTTTTAACATAAAAAAAAGATTTTCAGATGTATTTTGAATTTATATTTGATTAAGTTATATATGCAAAAAAATATTTATATTTTTATTAATCATTAAATGTATTTATATTTTATAATATACTAGTTTTGCACACATTATTTTAAAATATAAGCTTTGAACGATGTGTTGCCAAAAAGCCATATCAAGCAATATGGGTTGTATTTTTTCAGAACATTTCAACTAATTTAGATTTTGATCTTTTGACCGAATTCAAAAAATAAATTGTATATTTGACATTGTAATATGGAATATTTTACTTACAAAGGGATAATAAGTTTAATTAGACATAATTATAATTATTTAATGATATAACTTATTTGAATTGTTCTATAAACACTGAAATTAGTTACAGAATTATAATAAACATTTTTTACTTTTAATAATATATAGATTTAAAAAAAAAAATGAATCCTGACTTATTTTATAGCAGATCTAAAAAGAAAATAATCATCAGAGACAGATGCCTGAAGACTCAGAAGATAGTGAGCTGTCTTGTGAAGATGAAAAAGAATACGAAGAAAAAGAAAAAAATGTTTTTTCATGCTCCAATAGCTCAGATTCTGATGGTATGACTTATACTCTTCTTTGTTCTAATTAGTTTATAGCCTATTTATAAGTTATTTATATTAAAATATATATTTATACATTATAAGTTCATTATAATGCAACTATAAAGCTATAAAAACTCTACTTGCCACACTTATTGTACTTTTTTTCAAACCTGCATTTTCCCAAATCAAAGATAATACTTTTTTATTGGATATAGAAAAAGAATTTAAGATTTTCTTCTTATACTAAAGTAGCGTTTCATATTTTTGTTTTGAATTTTAGTTTTTATTTCAAATGATGGAGATAGTGAAGAAAGCACTTCAACTAGTGACCTGTCTTTAACAGACAAAGGAAGAAAAATTATTTGGGAAGAAAAAACAGGTGGTTTTGATAGATTGTCAAATTTACCCGATTTTCTTGGAACCGAGAGAGATCCTGGGCAATTGTGAGCCAATAGACTATTTCAGAGAAATATTTAACACCAAAACATTTGAAAACATCAAATGTTTTGGTGTTAAATATTTGAGTCCAACTGATACAGTTTACAAAAAGACATTAATAAACCAGTTAATATTTTGCTCAATGAGCT